TTTCGTTTTCTCCCCTACCCAAACACCCTGATTTTCCAGGCTCTCCCCCATTATTGTTGGGGGGGGGGGGGGCAAAAACGAGCAATTTCCTTCCAAAATGAAGGTTAGATTCGTTTGAAACACACCAAAATACTCAGGAAAACCTATTGGTCAACCCTTAGGGACTCTCGTCTCAAAGTAAAAATTTACCGATGTTTCTTTTCGACAAATTTTCATTGGTGAGTTTTGATGTGATATTCATTTCTTGGGCAAATGCTCTGTTTGGTAGATAATTAGACCCCTGGGCTTGCATTAGTGGCCCTACCTTGGGTAAATATTCAGTACCTGTAGTTGACAGCACCTAAATGACTTTTGAAAGTGGGTTTTTATAGTGTAAATCATTGTTTTAAATACAATTATGACCTTTATTGCCATTGGAAATGAGCCGTTGCTGAGATATTGAAAAAAGCGTGAGGTCAAAAAATGTAAAGCCCTCAAAAAACCTAGCTTAACCTAACCCCACCCCCAGTGTGTAAGAGACTTACCGGAAGTCAGAGATACAGGAGGATAAAGTGGTGCAACTTGAACGAGGAAATGGTGCAGTATGGTGTCCTCGTCTAAGTGATGTTCTTGGAACATATACCGAGCAAAATATTGCCGGTAATGTTCTTTTTTGTTCCCTGCATGAAGAACCCAACTTTTAATGTCTTTCTACAGACGTTCAATATTTTGTGTATGCACACCAGTAGATGATCCATAAAAATCTCATTGCGAATAACAGTTTTGTGAATACAGTACTATAACCAAATTTATTTAGGGTATTGTAAGCTCTCCAAAGGTCAGTATGGGCAATAGTGCTGTACCCGGTTTCACATAACGCTGAATAAGTGGTATGAGGATCTCAGCCCTGCGGTCAGACACTGGTACAATGAATTTTCATTTTGACACTTTCTATTCCCGCCAACACCCACACTCCTGTTGCTTCACATCCACGATTATATTTTGATTTTCCAAATTTACTTTCATCCACTTCCACAGCAATACCAGGCTTGCCAATTGGCTCCTGGTTATCTAGCCAATGTTTGCATACCTCGGAACAAAAATTTTCCAGTCCACAAAACTTGCTGATGATATTCCCAAATTTCCTGTGATATACTACCGAGAAAGGTGTTTCCTAACGAACATGTTGCTAAACAATAAATTTTTCCAGGCTGGCATATGCAGTTTGTCCAACCAAGTGCCCTTAAATGTAGACTCAGAAAATCCACACTGACCAGATCTCTTACTATTCAAGAATATCCGGCTCTTACTACAGTATCATGCATGGGGATCTGCAGGGTACTGATATTGAATTACTTCTTGGATGCTTTATAGATAAAGCAAGAACACCATGAGCCCTAAAAATGTCAATGGCTGCTGTTTCATTGTCCAAAACTCTCTGAATAACACGCCAGTCAGCCAATGTATAACCTTCACACACAGACACCCTCTTCCAACTGCCCATGAATTGAGACTTGCAAAGATTGGTGCACAAATAATGTCACATTGGCATTCATGCTGATTGGCACACACAACTAGGACGTCGCATAAACACTCACACTGATTGGCCAAATATTATAAAATAAAAGTTAAAATAACTCGGAAACTATTAATTTCCAACGGAAACATTATACAATAAATTAGTTAATTTTTTTTTTCTGTCTCCTCATATATGACTCAATATTCAGTTAGATGTTGGCAACTACTAAATATTAACCCTACTAAGTCTTCCACAGCAATAAATTGGTAAGGCGCCCTGATCGATGCTCAATGAGCATTTTTGATCCGCTTTGTCCGGGTGGCTGCTCTCGTGTGCACAAAAAATGCAAAATTACACCATATCATAGTACCTGTATGATCTTTCTGTTTAATATGTCGGGGGCATGGCTCGGAAGTTAGGTTAGCTCAGTTTGGATATGATATTCATGTCTTGGGAAAATGCTTTGTTTGGTAGATAATTAGGCCCCTGGGTTCATGCTAGTGACACTACTTAATGTTTCGCGGCAATCAAACTTATTTTTATTATTATTTATTTGTTTTTTACAGGGATTACCCCACCCAGGCACAGGACACTGACCCACATCTGGGCCTGGGGGAGGGGCGAAAGTGGTAATAATAATAATAATAATAATAATTTAAAAGATTCATAATAAATTTGATAAAAAATTCAAAATTCAAAATTATTATAATAAAATTATAATAAAAATAATAAAGAACTAAAAATAAAAAAAAAGATCAAGAGTGAGAAATGATATCAGTATAGTCTCCATTTACGCTGTCTCCATTTACGTGGAGGTCCGCGTAAAACGAGGAACGCGTACACGAAATAACAACATATGGGATTAATTGAAATAGAGACTGGGCCGACCCCCAAACTCCACTTTTTCCGACACAATATGTACCTTGTAGTAAAAGTAACATCAAAATTTTATGATGGTATTGACACACACACATAATATCTAAATAAAAAACTACACTACTGTACAAATATAAAGGTGTTTAACACTTACGTTAGTAGAAGAGATGGGTCGGCACACGGGGATGGCGGCTGGTGCCGAGGCAGAGGGCAGATTAGTGGCCCTCCGGTGAATCACTAACACTATTCACAGAGGTTTGCAGAGCCTCCCTGACAAACCCCTCAAAGTGCATATCGTCACTGTCACTATCACTGACTTGGGCTGGCTGTGGTTGTGGTGGGTTGCAGGCGAAGAAGTCCGTAATACTACGTTGACGACTAGCATTGATGTTGTTGTGATACATCTGGACATACGGCTCCATAATTTTCGACAGAAGGTTATTAGACACTTCATACCGATGCTTGACTGTGTCTTTGTCAAGGATGAGCTTGATTTTCTCCCCAACTCGATGACCTCCTTCACATAACCATGGCTTGGTCCGGGTAGTTCAAGGTTTCTCCGGGGCGGTGGGGGTCCAGCGGAAGCCATTGTGAAGTGAATAGCGGGCACAAGAGAGAACTGTATACGCGGAGACTGAGAACAATGAGACTGGCCCGGCTAGGTCAGCGACTTCTTCCCTCTGGTGGCAGGGCACGTCATGTTACATTAGACCAATCACAGCTAGCGGCGGAGGGAGGTAAGGATGTGTGGCCCAATCACAGTCTGATACGTCATATGACGTCAGCGATAACATAAGAGCGACCTAATGCGCACCCTCCCTGCGCCACTTCCCGCATAAATGATGGAATGAACCGCGTAACTTAAAATTGTCATTCTGGCAAGGTGCCGCATAAATGACCAAACGCGTAAACAAAATCCACGTAAATCGAGACTATACTGTATTACCCAAATCTTTACTGATAAGGTTATAGCCCAGATCATGTGCGTGCCTTGCCCTAACTACCTACTGTAGGATGTACGTACTGTACCATCATAGAACATGCGGAAATAATTTACACAGTTGCATGTTATTATGAGCTAATCAAGGAAAAAAGTCTTGAGAAGAAAACTTGTTTCTTGCCTCTTGAAGATCAGTAAAAGTTTGTACTGTATTACAATTATCCTACAGTAGTTTTTCTGTGTTATTTCTTTTGAGGAAATCCAGTGCGACGTTGTCATTGTTGTCATGTTTAAGTTAGATTGTTGATAAGCTCGCCAGCCAAGAAGCGATCTAAACATTGAGCAAACTGCCTAGTGAACATTCCCATATGAACTGTTAACTACTAACAAAATAACAACCTCCCTAACCTAACCTAACCTAAAATGATGCTCTTCCATCCTAGCATAGGTATGTTAGGTTAGGCAAGGGTAAATATTCTGTAGTGACCTTTCACGGAAATTTTTTTTTAAAATATAATTATACAGTAGAATATAATGTTTTTCACTGTTTCACACGAATACGACTTTCATATCCGGCAGAAAGGAGTTCAGTACCCGGTACTTTTGGAGATGTGACCCCACATACCCCAATTACCAACATTGTGGGGTACAGTACAGTAATCCCATGTTTTTCGCTGTTTTTTTTTTTAGCGGTTTTGACCATTCGCGTTTTTTTAATTTCATATATAAAATATCATTTAAAAACCAAAAAATTAAATTTCGCGCCATTTTCGATATTCCCCTGTGAGGTGCGGTTTTAGTGCGGGTTGTCACCACATTGGGTAAGTTGACCAAGCTTCTCACCACACGGCATCTCCAGCACCAGACTGTCTTGTATATAATATATTTTATATAAGAAAACCACCACCTAGAGTTTCCATCCATCCATCCTGAGTGCGAGACAACATAATATCACGTAACCCTACATGGTAAACAGACGCCACCCTTTCCTGCCTTAGACACCCGCTGCTCCGAGAAGCCTCAGTCCACACGTGCCTACCGTACTGTGAACGCTACTGTGACTGCGTGAGGGCTGGCAGACGCCGGGACAGCAGGGAGAGGCTGACAATGCGGGTGTTGCCGACCTCATCTAAATATAATTTTTTTTTTTATTAACTTGTAAATAAAATTGTTTGGTATATAACTGTGTTTACGTTTTTCCAATATTATACGACAATATGATTAGTTTCAAATAATGATGCTAGTAAATGCTGGTACAGTGCTTCAGTGATCAGTGTGACCACTGGGCCGTGAGTGGAGAGCATGGTGTGGTTAAGTGCATGACCTACCTGAGCTGTTTGGTAGCCACAGGTGCAGTGATTCCTAAAAGAGTATTCGCGGTTTTAGCTTTTTGCGGGGGTTTCAGGAATGCAATTCCCGCGAAAAACACGGGATTACTGTATATACCTTGTGTACAGGGTCCCCTTTGTGCTGAATAAAATTGTCTGGCATTAGCTAAATAATATACTGTACGGTATTAAGATTGGTGTTCCCGTATTGAAGGGATTAAACAATTAAACATTAAGGTAATGTATTCAATATAATTGACCCATACGCTTTTTATGGCTAGCTATAACAATGATGGCTACTATACCGTAGCTACAGGTAAATGTAATTAAACATAAATTCTTTGTTATTTCATTCCAGACGCCTCTATTGTGTTGACCGAGGATACTGACAGTTTCATCATCGGAGACAGAGTATGGGTGGGTGGCAGCAAGGGCGGCGTCATCTCTTACATTGGAGAGACACAGTTTGCACCAGGAGAGTGGGCTGGTGTTACTCTTGATGATCCTATCGGTGAGTTTAATTTGTAGTTTGATTTTTTATATTTTTGGTTCAGTGGAAATTATTTTCCATGTATCACTTATTCAGTGTAGGATAACTTTTAAGTTTTCCAAAATATCTAATAGATGAGGTGTCTTAGAAGTAAACACACTATAGTGCGTTTTTTCAGCTGAGAAAAAATGCCCCGCCCCCTCCTCAAGAGTTACAGCTGATTGGGTGTTGCAAACCTGTCCTATTTTTCCTGAGTAATGATGTACCTTGTATTTCTAAATGAGTTTACCTGTATTCATAATCGTTGGGATGACTGTTTCCTAAATTATATAAAGATACAGTACATACCTTCTTTATTTAAAACAGGAGCACGTGTGAAGTTTATCAGAAGTATTATACGTGAATTAACTGATAAACTCGGGTAGCAAATTCACGCTTTCAGAGGATGCATTTATTATATACTTATTTTTACCTACAATAAGACATACTAAGACAAATTACATACCGGTATCAGTAATAGTACATTGTGCAAAAACAACATTTTAAAAGATCAGAATGACATTGAAATATTACACGACCGTTAGCAGAGGCAGTAAAAATATGAAGTAGTTCGCAGTCATATTTCCTGCCCCTGTTGACGGCAGTGTAATATTTCAATGTGATTCTGATGTTTTAAAATGTTTTTGCATAATGTAGTATTACTGATATGCAATTTGTCTTGGTATGTCTTATTGTGGGTAAAAATAAGTACAGTATATATTAAATGCATCCTCTGAAAGCGTGAATTTGCTACCTAAGTTTATCAGTTAATTCACGTATAATACTTCTGATAAACTCCTACATGCTCCTGTTTGAAATAAAGAAGGTATGTATCTTTATATAATTTAGTTAAATATCTTTCTCGCCAGAAACAGTCATCCCAATGATTATGAATACAGGTAAACTCATTTAGAAATACATCAGTACTCAGGAAAAATCGGACAGGTTTGCAACAGGCAATCAGCTGTAACTCTTGAGGAGGGGGCGGGGCATTTTTTTTCAGCTGGAAAAAATAGGCTATAGCTAAGTGTTTGAAGTACAAGCAGGGTTATGTGTACCATTAAATGTTTTTGTGTATAAATGAAAGACAACTGTGGAACAAATGGCTTAAAATGATAAAATGTGATAAAATGCTTATTGTTTAAATATACAGTTTCTGAATTTACAAATTCTAATTATTTGTGGTTTATTATATGTATGTCTATATACAGTATTCACCATTTGCAACCCCCAACTTTAGTCCTGTACCAATACAAGGTATTGGCAATTTTTCATGGGGTTGAAATCTCTGGGGTGAAACATAATCTACAAAATATCTTTTGTTTTACAGCAAGCTACAGTACATTGAGGGTAAATTCACATTCATTACCCATAAACTACAGCTAGTACAGTAGAACGTCGATTTAATGCGAAATGCGTTCCAAGAAAGGTCTCTTTAAACCGAATTCGCGCTAAATCGAAGTGTTGTTTCAATGGAATAATTTAGTTTTGTGCTTGAGAGAAACACAAAATACTAAAGAGACTTTTATTAACTAGTAAATATGAGAAAAATATATGGTGTAATGGTATATATGCAGCAAGCACTCTCTGCGGTCAAATTGAGAGCTGGACGGTACTGATACTGTACTGTGTAGTACTGTCTGCTGTCTCGGGCCACTGGCCCTCCCCGACCCAGATGCACCTCGGCCCATCTCCTAGAATAAACAAAACATTGTTTTGTACAGGCTGCAGTAATATGCTAAAACAAATACTGTACTCATAAATCAACACAATCTAAAATTACTGGATGCGAAATGGTCTGTTTACTAGCGATCAGCTTATGGAGGAGGCTGGTGGCGCTAGTGCCGCACTCCACCCGCCTCTCGTCTGACTCACTTTTCTCTCAACTTATTTTTTAATTACTTTATGCTATCAAAAATAGAATTTTAATCACCTTAAAACTTGTCCAACACATCATCCACATCACTGTCTAGTGCTGTGGCTGTTGACACATCTGACACCCGGGAAGCACTGGATGACGGCCGTGTCTACCCAGATGTAGATGGGCCAGCTACCCCAGGAGCTGGAGGAATGGAAAACATTCATTAAATTATTGAATTTCTACCACATAATTATTTCATATCATACACTCAAAATTTAATGTCTATTTTTCCAAGCAATGAACACTCAGTTTCATAACACACAGTTTCAGAACAAACTCACCTGATGAGGATAATGGATGGAAGAATGAGGTGATTTTCTTCTGTTGCTGGGCTATAATCAGTTAATCTAGCAGCTGAGAGATGTAGATGCAGCCCGATTCAACGCCTCCATCACTTGCATACTGCGTTCCATATCAGGGTCATGTTGCAGTACAGACGGTGGCAGAAGTGATGTGCTGCATAAACTCCCTCAGCTTAGGAATTGTCAGTTCCTTCCCCACTGTTTGGGGCTTATCTGTCACTTCCTCTTCTTCCTCGTATTTTTTTGCCATCTCCACCATCTCCAAGACTTCTTCAGAAGTGAGAGGATCCTCCATGCTAACAAGCAGCTCAGTCTCATCCTCTTCTTGGATTTCTTGAAATCCTGAATCACCTCTCACTTCCTTAACGAGCTTCATAATGTCTTTCACGTCCTCGCCTTCATTAAAGCCCTTGAGATCATGGACTACCTCGGGCCACAGATTACGCCACACACCATTTAGTGCAGTTTCTGGCACACTTTTCCACGCAATTGTGATGTTAGTTATGGCATCTTTGATGGTGTAGCTCTTCCAAAACGTTGCTGCAGTCATATTGTTGTCCTTGTTCATAGCTTCAGCCATTTGCCTCATGGTATTCTTGAGATATATCTCTTGAACAAGGCAATAACACCTTGATCAAGTGGCTGAATAAGTGAAGTCACGAGAAGAAGGTCAAGTTTACGTCTTTATTCACACTGCACAGGTGTTTGGAGTGCCTAGATGCATTGTCCATGAGAACCAAGGCCTTGTTGCTAAGGTTCAATTTTTTGTTAACATCGATAAATGGGGTGGCATGGCTGATGTACCACTCATCAAAAATATGAGAAGTCATCCACACCTTCTTGTTTAATCGCCAAATTACAGGAAGTTTCGAGATGTGCACATTATTCAAGGCACGAGGTCTAGCTGAATGATGGATGACGAGTGGCTTCATTCGTGCGGTGCCTGACGCTTTCGCCATGAGGAAAATCGTCAGTCTGTCCTTGCTGACCTTAAACCCTGGTGCTTTTTCTTCACTCTTCATTAGATAGGTTTTCTTGGGCATTCTTTTCCAATACAGTCCAGTTTCATCACAATTCCACAATTAGCATTACAGTATTTTTTCTTTTCTCTTATTTATTATTATTTTTATTTTTACCTCACATAGCTGACTGCAGTTACAGCTCAGTGCATCAATACATACTGGACATTCACTTCCCACACATACACACCGATGCTCTTCACTTTTCTTATTTTATAGTTTTATAGTACAGTACATTACTGTATACGATAAAACTATAAAATACTGTATATTGTACTGTATTTTCTTTATTTCTAAGCCACATTACAGTATTGTAATGATGTGCACTTGGAGCACAGAATCCCCAGTTTACCCGACCTCCTTCCTGAATTTTTCCCAGTGAGTCGAATATCGTAAAACCCAAAACTGATGATTTTTAAACAACAAAAGGTTTTAAAAATTTTAAATTGCAAAACTGAAATATCACTAAGTAAATGATGGTTAAATGAGGGATACCTGTATCTTCATAACATAATAAGCAAGGCTTGGAATTTTACCACCATATGCTGTGATCTTATGACTGCTAGCTTGCTTGAACTTTGTTATGTATTGAAAATTGAAAACAAATTTCTGTGAATATAACCACATTCACTTCCCATGTGCTTCAACTACATTGACAATGAAAACCAAAGAATGTTCAGTTTTTACAGTCATCATTCTGGAAAACAAGTGAAGAAGTGCTAAGGTTAGCAAAAACTTCAAGAGAAATTCTTATACTGTGTACTTGAAATTTACAGAAAAAGAAAAATGAGATTCAGTACTTGGGTCACACTGTGTAATTTGGGATGGGCGATAATAACTGAAATTTTATGAGCAAAATTTCAGTAGGAGGGCCAGGGGAAGGTAGAGACTGGGATGGATGGTTGACTGAAATTAAAAACTGGGTCCCCAAAGAGATGGAAAATCCTGGAGGATTGGTAAAAAAATAGCCTCCAAACCTTTAGATTTGAGGAGTGTGTCTGCCACCCCTCAGATATGAAGACGTTACTCCGATTGATTGACTCTCACCTGATGCACACGTGCCCTTCTCTTTTCCTTAATTTGCACCTCCTGCCTCTTCCCGCATCATCTATTTTTCATTCCTATTTTCTCGAATCCACATTCCTCGGCTGAACTCTCCAGGACTGCATTCATGAGCTCCTCTTGTTCCATTTCAACCCTCAGCTCATTCAATATTAAAGCATCTTGATCCTTCCATTCTTCCATTCATCATTATTCTGAATACCGGTACAGTAGTCATAGCAACTCTTCTTAGTACATCCACAATATCATGCAGCTTAATTTCAGTTATACGGTATATTTGTCTTCCATCTCATATCTTAACAACCTTCTATTATCCCCATTGTCCTGCTTCCATGTTTGCTTATGAATTTCTTTTTGAACCTGATTTCTTTGATTCTTTTACCTTTCCATTCATCCTTGGCGCGCTGTTTAGTTATCATCACGATTCTTTCCACTTCCCAATCACTACTTCTTGCATGAAGGTCTTTGACAATCATTCTATCACACAATGAAGCTTTCCTTGCAGTTATTCTTGTCTTCTCAAAACTCTCCCTTACTTCCACTCCCTGTAGTATATGCTCTTAAAAGAACCCATCTGTTATATCCCACTATTACAGTAGCTAGTTCTGTATGTACCATCAGTTCATGTTCATCACTGAACACCTATATTTACTACTTAGGTTTACTTCTGCCAGGGTATACTTCTCTTGTTCTCAGTTTTCCTTTCCCTTATTTACTACTTAGGTTTACTTCTGCTAGGGTATACTGTACTTCTCTTGTTCTCAGTTTTCCTTTCCTTTATTACCTTACTTAGGTTTACTTCTGCCAGGGTATACTGTACTTCTCTTGTTCTCAGTTTTCCTTTCCCTTATTTACTACTTAGGTTTACTTCTGCCAGGGTATACTGTACTTCTCTTGTTCTTAGTTTACCTCTCCTTTATTACCTTACTTAGGTTTAGTGGATGAAGGTCATTGCATCCAGATCTCACCTGAGTGTGACAAATATGGACATTTCTGTGACTTACAATTTTCCAAGTTTTCACTTAATCATGTACAGTAGGTACTGTACTACAGCATTGTTTTACACAAAACCCAAGACATCTAGGTTCAATATTTTGTTAAAGAATGTCATTGGGTTTATATTGCTATTATTTAAAGAATCCATGCACATTCAAACACCCTTCCTTAGGATGTTGAAGGATGTGTGAGTCTGTAAGCAGGTGAATTTTTTTAATTAATTGGAAAACTACAAGTAAAATTTTTTTTCCACAGGTAAAAATGATGGAAGTGTGGCAGGTGTGCGCTACTTTCAGTGTGAGCCTAAAAAGGGAGTGTTTTCACGACTTACTCGACTCTCTCGTACTCCTCTCACCGACCAAGACATAGAGATCCTGACTTCACGATCATCGACACTTGGGTCAGACTCTCCAAAAGCCAATGGAACACCAGCAGCAAGCGTGGCCTCTGGCCCCACCACAACCACACGTAAGGTCACACCAGCTAGTCCTCCAGCAAACAGTAAACCTGCTACTGTTGCATCTGTTAAGTCAAGCTCTCCTGCACCTGCTTCTACACCCAAGAAAGCTTCTAGTTCCACCCCAGGTATATGTTGCTGGAGCTTAAAGCATACAATAGTCAGAGATCATTAGCTTCTATTAAGTGTTGTTTCTTTCAGAGGGTTTACATACAGTACTCTTGTTTCTCTCATGATCCTCTACTTTTTCTCTCTTTCCTGGGAATTAGATCACTATACAGGCATCCCCCGGGTTATGGAAGGGATCTTTGAAAATGTTTCCGTAACGCGGGACAAATTTTTCCAATGGCTCCCATTATATAATTGGAGATGTGTTCCCAAGGAAATATTTTTGGCACATACGAATGAAAATAAACATCTTTAACACATACATCGATTACTTCATGATATAACATGGTAATAAATGCACACAACACTTGAATTTAACTCGCCAGAAATGATGTTGAGGGCTGCAGGAGGTGGTGAGGTCAGGTGGTACAATTGGAGTTACTGGGAGTTGCCTCCTTACAACATAAGTTTAATGTCTAACGTACAGGTATACCCCAAAAACTGACACCCCAATAACCGCTGTTTTGTATAACTGACGATTATATATATAGGGGAAATATTGTACCCCGCAAATTTTCCTGAAACCCCAGAGATCCGACGATTGGGAGAGGAGCAGCAGAGCTGTTTTGAATTTGGCGGGTGGTGGCGTGGCGTTAATTCTTGCCACCAGAGGGCTCTGCACGCTGCCTCTGACCCATTCCCAGCATCTTTACTTTTGTTTACACTTACCATGTTTCTGACTGTGTTTTCGTTGTTTCTGACTTCATGCATTATGCAATCATACCTAAACGCCCGAGTGATAGTTCCTCTTGTGCTGCCTCTCTTAGGGGCATCTTGATGTGATGTGATAAGGCATAATAAGAGTGGTGATGGACCAGCAAAGATTGATAGAGACTTAAACTTGCCACCCTAGACTGTCCCTGCCATCCTCAACACAGGTAAATAAGTTTCAATTTATGCTTTACATTGCTTATTTAAGGCTTATTATGCTTGCTTTATATGTCTTCTTTATTTTCTTGCTTGACAATATGCACGATAGATATATTGAGGGTATATGCGAATTTTTGGAGGGTGACCGGTCCCTAACCCCCGTACAGTATTTGTTATTTCTGGGATTAATTGCTTCGATAACTGTTGATTCGCCAACCAACGACTTTTCGTGGTCCCTATATGTGTTGGTTATTGGGGTACACCTGTAATTCCTTTATGGGATCCTTTAGCACCACTGCTTTTACTTGAGCTTGATGGTCTCTTTCCACTCATCTTGAATACGGGTACACAGAACACAGTCCTGAACACATGAAAAACCAAACAATCTGTGGTGTGAAATCAAACTGAGCACTGTTGATGTGGGTGTTCCATCCTCCACTGTATTGCAGCAACCACCAAGAATGCCACATGATATAAATTTTGTAATTTCAATTCAAATTTTTGTTCCACGGTTTATCGCGATTTTCACGTTTGAAAAACTAAAAAAATTGCCCAAATTCCGAAAGAGCAAATTTTGGGGCTGTAACCCAAATTTATTGGTCATAGCTGATTTCCAAATTCCCTAAGCGCGAATTTCCGTGACCAGAGTTTTCGTAACCCAGGGGATGCCTGTACTATAGTGTATTATTGTTTTAAGCATGATTGCAGTCTTATTTACTTAAAACCTCTTTAGGTAGGCCACAGAGAGGCTTGACAATGAGAGATGTTGGACACTTTTAAGCTTCATATGTTCAGAGCATGATGGTGTAGTATACAGTAATAGGTAAAGAAGTGGGAGGCAAATTTTCTCCTGGCAAGTTTACCATAACGAATATAAGGCTTGGAGGTCTTATTAAAAAAACAAAAAAAAACAATTAAGACTTGAGTGCTGTGATGTATTCTGAATGTCAACATTATTTTTCTGAATTATTTTGTCAGGTTGTCAGTTTCAGTCGGACATATTGTACTTGTACTGTGTGTTGCTGTTATATATGGTGCAGACTTTATTTCACTCTTATCATTTTAGGTGCTTCTGCCTGAGTACATTTCTATTGTCCCCAGCAATGTTTATCCTTTTGTATTGCACCCTAGCTGAGTTGTTTTACTGTACCTGGTCAAGCTTACTTGGCCAGAAATTCATGGCATATTAAAGTGAAAATATGGAGAACTAGTGAATAACTATGTTTCAGAAGGTTTACTTGTTGGCAAATATTTCTTGTTTAACATCCTTTCATTTTATTTTATTGATATGTCATGGAAATTGTGTTTGTTTTGTAGTGTCAGTTTGTGTGTTCTGTTCCGTAGTCCCGGAGCTGAGGCTTTATGTTGGCTGATAATATCTTGCATCTTTTTGTTGGAGCTTTCCTCTCATGATAGATTTTTTCCCTTTTATGCTGAGGTCCTCACATGTAATTCTTCCATGAGAGTGAATAATTCATTGTGGATTCTAACCAGGTGTGCTGCCTGTAAAATGTTACAAAACAAATAAAAAGGTGATGGTACTGAGTGCAGTACTGTAATGCAAAAAGAAAACCTTAAATGGTTAGTACAATACAGTATTAAAGACGTTAAAATTCCCCCAAGACTTAATGAGGGTCAGTCAGCAAGTGTACACCATGGCCAGTACTGTTCAGTGTAGGAACCATAAAATATTTTGACTGAAAAAAAGGTACGTGACATATTTTAAGTTTACAACTCTTCAACTCCAATGTAATTAGTGTATATGTTGGGCTCAAAGACCGAAAACTAACCACAACGTGTTGTGGTTGCTTAGAAAATAACCAGAAAGCAAAATTTTGCTACAGGTTAGGTATGGTTAGGTTAGGTTGTATCTATTGGGTAAAACCCAAGACGCAAAATTTCACTTTCCGGTTCTTTTGAAAATTACCACAATGCGTTGTGGTAATTTTCGGTCTTTGAGCCCAACATATGCAAAGAAAGAAATATTATTACATTTTGTTCTCCATAGTAAACCTTAAATATGGTAGAGTGGGTGACCAATTGTTACTGTACAGCACTTGGTTAGTATTGAAGAAAAAAATTGAAATTAAACTACGCTTAAAAAGCTGTAGTCTTCATACTATTATGACACATGGCAAACTGGCGAGATCATAATTTTACGTTTATATGTTTCCTGCCTCCATTTAAGCATCACGTGGGCTGATGTCACACCCAAACTGCAGCAGATGCTCACCCATGAGACTCTTCTCGTTCTTGCTGCAGCGTCATCAATAAATATTATGATAATAGAACTAATGCGCTAATAAACATTTATTTTTTGTGTGTAAATACAGTCGACCCTCGTCAATTCGGACCCCTTTAATCCGGATTTCGGATAATTCGGACAAAATCTTTTTTTTTTTTTTTTTAAAGATTTGTAGGAATATTATCTACGCGGACCTTAAGCTAAAATGCTGGTACACCCACGGCTGGGATAAAACACCAGCATCTTTTTGGTTAAATGTAACATCTCCACCACTAGTGTGGGGGGGGATGCAGCTTTTAGCTTCAGACATGAAAAATATTTACCATTTACTGCCAGTAAACAATGGAAACATAAAATATGTACCAATTAGGAATGAAAAGTTGTGCAGTTCCTTCAGCAAATGAAGCTCACCAACTTACAATAGGCTAAATTACCTTACAACTTGTTTTCAGTAGTCTATGTTGAAGTTCTTAGCACAGGCTAACTTATCATATCATATACGGTATCACAGTAATAAAAACCTTTTTGATATTTCACACTTAATATAATACCCGGTAATCTACTTCAACCTCCTATTGTTTACAACGACACATGACGCACCACCAGCTGTTGAGTATCAGCTAGATGGTACACGTGTTTTCGAATCGTTTTCAGTTAAAAAACTGCTACATCACAAGTATATTTTACCTTAACTGTGTCTGAATGAATATATTCTTGGAAATAAATAGTAGTTTTGCTAAAACGTGATGTATTTTAATGTAAAATAGGATAAAATACATGACGAAAACAAAAGATTTTACCTAACCTTCCGATGTTCAAGAGAAGTTACTCGTTTTTTTTAATAGTTTTTGGCTAAAATACTGTTATATTACATTGGTATTCTATTCATACTGTGCTTGATATAATGCATTCACGGAAATGTAATATTTTTGCTGAAATGACGTACGTATTACAGTGGAAAGTGGGATAAAATCGTGACGAAAACAATGACTTTCGCTTTCTTTCGTTCAAAAGATGTTATCGTAATCGCTTTTCGATTGGTTTTCAGTTAAAAACTGTTGTATTACAATAATATTCTATCCTAATTGACTTGAATAAATACTACGATACCATATTTCTGAATATTTTCATTAAAATCCAATCAAATCATTTTCCTTGTCATCGTCTGCAGCACCAAACAGCTTCTCCCAGTCCTCTCCTTGAACAGGGCTAGAGGGTACGTGTTTTTTGAATCGTTTTCAGTTAAAAAACTGTTACATCACACATATATTTTACCTTAACTGTGCCTGAATGAATATATTCTCGGAAATAAATAGTAGTTTTGCTGAAACGTAATGTATTTCAATGTAAAATAGGATAAAATACATGACGAAAACAAAAGACTTTACCTAAGCTTCCGATGTTTTTGAGATGTTATTCGTTTTTTTAATAGTTTTCGGTTAAAATACTGTTATATTACAATGATATTCTATTCATACTGTGCTTGATATAATACATTCACGGAAATGTAATATTTTTGCTGAAATTACGTACGTATTAAAGTGGAAAGTGGGATAAAATCGTGACGGAAACAATGACTTTGAAATATAATGCAATATTAACCCCTAAATCGATTAATTCGGACAATCGGCTAAAACGGACACCCTTCCCCCCCTATTAGTCCAAATTAACGAGGGTCGACTGTATACTGCATATAAGAATTGGGTCTGTCTAGTAAGTCTTTATCTACTTAAGACATCTGATCTGACAGCCACACTTCTCAGTTATCCCCAAGTATATGTACTATGTGTATTTATGTTTATTTTCCCCCTTTTTGAGTGTAATTTTCTTGTATTATGCTAGTCTATTTTCATACTTGAATTTATTGTATTTATATACAGTGGTCCCTCGGTTAACGAGCGCCTCGGTTAACGAGATTTCGGTTAACGAGTTACCTTCCATAAGATTCTTAACTTCGGTTAACGAGCAATCCCTCGATTAACGAGTTTCTTACGAGCCGACCAGAACATGTTTTCGCTTGCATTTGGCGGTCCACCAGCTGTAGTATTAGTCCGCCAATACAGTAATCGGTTCTAGGGCTTAAATTCCTTACCATTTTAGCAAATATCAAGAAGTTTATACTATTCAATAATTTTAAAAGTTTAATATTAATTTTTTTAGTCCTTTTAACAATTATTGAACATAATTGAAGGTAATGAAACTAGTTTTATGCACGCCATCCAGCCTCTCAACACACCATACAGGCGTCAGTCTTTGTGTCTTTTCAGTGGAGGTAACATCTTGCTCGAGACTCTCTTCAACTAAACGCTTTTTTCTGTGTTTGCAAGCAAATTATTGGTCATTTTGAAATTTATTTTACATATTGACAATATATAATGCAGTGCAGTGTTGATTAAAGAAAATAATCTTGAATTACACCAAGAGAACTAAAATTTTATGGGTGAAATGGCACCATGGGGTGACCTCTCTTCCTCCCCAATGCCTTCTCTTCTCCCTTCTCCTCCACCCCCATTCTAATTCCCATCATCATCATCATCATCATCCAGGAGCCTTCTACATACACACCTCAAAGTAAGTGTACTTTTCTACCTTTTTTGTTGAATTTAGGCAATTTTCGGTGAGCTGGAACCAATTACCCAAAAACCCATTGAAACAATGGTTTCGGTTAACGAGTTTTTCGGTTAACGAGCAACCTGCTGGAACGGATTGTGCTTGTTAACCGAGGGACCACTGTACTGTACTGTATTAATTAAATGAAAACAAATTATGGTACAGAAAAATGTAAAATCTTCAAAACGTGTGATACTAATTTAACAAAAATTTTCAAATACAAATAGATTACAGTAAGGTTCTGCTTAATGAGCAATATGCATTCTTGAAAAGTGCATGCTAGGTGAATTCTTGCTCTACGGAACCAATTTCCCAGCCTAAAGTTTACTTTAAACCCCATGGAAGAATTTAGGCCCTAAAACTTAACCTAATAAGAATTAGTACAGTACAGTGGTCCCAGTGGGTTTTTGGGTAATTGGTTCCAGCTCACCGAAAATTGTCTAAAATCAACAAAAATGGTAGAAAAGTTCACTTACTTTGAGGTGTGTATGTAGAAGGCTCCTGGATGATGATGATGATGATGATGGGAATTAGAATGGGGGTGGAGGAGAAGGAAGAAGAGAAGAGAAGTCACCCCATGGCACCATTTCACCCATAAAATTTTAGTTCTCTTGGTGTATTTCAAGATTATTTTCTTTAAATCAACACTGCACTGCATTATATATTGTCAATATGTAAAATATATTTCAAAATGACCAATAATTTGCTTGGAAACACAGAAAAAAAGCGTTTAGTTGAAGAGAGTCTCAAGCAAGATGTTACCTCCAGTGAAAACAGAGAGAGACTAACGCCTGTTTGCTGTGTTAAAAGGCTGAATGGCGCGCATTAAACTAGTCACTTTACCTTCAATTATGTTCAATAATTGTTAAAATGACTAAAAAATGGAATATTAAACTTTTAAAATTATTGAATAGTATAAACTTCTTGATATTTACTAAAATAGTAAGGAATTTAAGCCCTAGACCCGATTAATGTATTGGCGGACTAATACTAAAGCTGGTTGACCGGCCAGTGCAAGCGAAAACATGTTGAGGTCGGTTCGTAAGAAATTTGTAAACCGAATTTTTGTTCGTTAACTGAATTTAAGAATCTTATGGGAGGCAGTTCGTTAACCGAAATTTCGTTAACCGAGGCGTTCGTTAACCGAGGGACCACTGTATACTGCGCTGTACTTAGCAGAGCTGAAGATGACTGCTGCTGGTGCTGGCCTATCATTATTGGTTGAGCATGATGATCACCAAGCACCACCATGTTGTATTGGTGCACTGGCTAGCCAGGTTGGGTTAGCTGACCATTGACTTCTCAGAATACTGTACTGTATAAAAATTGAGTCCTATGAATGTACTACTCTGGTCGGCAACTCAAACCAATGACAGAGTGTGACGAGCCCCACACCGAGAATGTTACGGTTCATTTGGATGTTTGCTTGGTAAATAGAAGTTAATTCTTTGAAATTTCACGCCTTGAAACACTAAGCTCGTTAAACTGAAATCTCGTGCAATGGAACTTATTGTCTTCATTTTATTAAAAAGTTTGATCAAATTCTAGTTGAAATAATTTTCTTAAGTATGGTAAAAAATGATGTTTCTGTATTGCTTAATTTTATTAATAAAATTAAAAAAACTTTTGAACAATAGTGAATTGAGTGAGTGAGCACATTGGCTACAGTCAGACCACAAAGGGTGTGGCTGCTGTCGCAGGTCAATAAAAAGTCATATTTGGTCATCTCTTGATTTACACGGTAGGTACTTTCTTGAGAGTGGCAGTGTAAATCAAAAACATGTAAATCGAGAGGTGACTGTATTCTCCCGTATTATATGAAGGATGAAAATAAGCAAATTGATTTAAAGAGGTTAGCAAAGGAAGAGGACTAGAGCATTGTAAATGATCACAAATTGTCATTTGAGGAACACAGAGAGTAGAATGAAGTGAATAATACTTGATAGTCCTGAGCCACCGAACAAACCTGCTGTGCTGGGCTAGAAATCTCTTATGGTGACTGTGGATGCGCTTGTACAGTACAGTTCAGTACAGTATATCTAAAACTGAATTCTGTGGTTGGTAAAATGGTGTACAATATTCTGTACAGTATATAAAATATGGGTACTGTATTCAGAGCTGAGGATGGCAAAACATTGCAGTATTACCTCATAATTCAATTATAATTTTGTCTAGATGTGTCATCTTGGCAACTTATAAAAAGTTATTATCTCATTTTTATTTTTACAGCCAAGAAAAAAGTTTCATATAACATTTATTACTGAGTTCTACATACATCATTCCTAGTAATGGACTGGTTAGTTATTTTCTTAAACCTTCATCAGTCATTTTTTTTTCTCAAATTTTACTTTGATCTTTTTTTCTATTAAGATTAGCTGTGATTGTCTACCTCCAGAGGTTAGTACAGTATAATATACAGAGTTTCTGTATTTAGCACGTAGACTGTTATAGTAATGGCCAGTGAATGGAACTTGTATTACACGATGACACTTGGGGTCTTGAGATGATAAAATATATAGGTTCCTTCATTTGTTTTAGCTTCGTCTTCACCCGATATGAAAGTTGGAGATCGTGTAGTCATCGCTAGTGCTACAGGTGTCCGACATGGTGCCCTACGCTTTGTCGGCAAGGCAGATTTTGCTGAGGGTGTCTGGGCTGGCGTGGAATTGGATGAACCTACTGGGAAAAATGATGGGTCAGTGGCTGGCAAAAAGTAAGTAACAAATTCTTATTCACTCTGAAGCTGTCTCCTTTTTATTGTTTTACTTATGGCAATCATTATTAATTTTTCTTGTGCCATCATGTATTGTATTATCATCTTAGCGTTTTGTACATTCATCTATGATATCCATTGTTAGCTGTTCCTGTATCCATATTGGTTATGTATAGTAAGGTAGCACAGTAAAGGCTTTTGGGTTGTATTTTTCATTTGTTTTCAAGAGACTATTACACTAAAGTGTCTACCCATTTATATTTTCTTTTTGGCATAATTTTGAAATGTAACAGCCTGAGTATGACAAGAAGAAGGATGAGAGATTAGCTATGATTATTATTCTAAGGAAAAGGGCAGATGAGATACTGTATTAGAAATTAAGTACAGTACAGTAAAGAGAATGGGTATCAAAGAGTTGATAAAGAATAGGTTGAAGGATTGTTAAAAGTTTTGCAAGAGGAGCTAGTGCTTCATTGGGGAACTAGTTACATAGGTTGAGAAAGTCAACAGAACAAGTGAAATAGCTCATAATGAAGGAGGTACAGGTTGTACCTCTCTAGTCCGGCAACCTCGGGACCTGACCGGTGCCGGACCATGGAAATTCACCCTTTTCCTGGATAGATAGTGACTTGTGCTTATGCTTGGAAGCACTAGCACCACTTTCTCTGCATCATGGTCTCTTTGAAGACATATTGAAGGGTTAAATGTCATATAGTAGCTTCTCAAATTTCACGAGTTTTTAATTCTTAACGTATTTTATTGGAACACAAAAAAATAAATAAATAAAAATTTTGACGGCGGAAACTTGAATTTCGACGGGTTTGAACGGCCCGCCAACGTGCAGATGATGTGCATAATCGTGTAAACAGCGTCATTTCTCTTATGTACAAAAGATTCATTATTGTTTATTACTGAATGTCTTTTTTATTGAATTAATGTTTATGTGTGCAAAATGAGCAATACAATTCATTAATAATATGTAGAATATTAAAACACGAGGAAATGACACAGCATTGTTTTCGTTGATTACAAAACCAGTGACTGACTGGTTCTACATATAAAACTGAAGAAAATAAGACCCTGGCTGTAGCTGTAGTAAAATTAATATGGTTGTTTTAAGTAATGTTATTTAATGTTAATAAATGGAACAATATAAGTAGCTAACCATTAATGGTAAAAAAAAGTGAGACCGCGTATGTAAGTGCGCACATGTGAAAACATATCGTCATTACTCTACATAAGAATATGAAAGCAACACTTATTTACTGCTCATATATATTGAAGGGTTAAATGTTGTACTCTGTATAGACAAGCAGAGAGAGAGAGAAAGAGAGCAGCCGAACTGCCGGATGTAAACAAACCTTAATTTCCCGCGGCTTTGTTTTGTTTTTTTTACGGGGATTAGCCCACCCGGGCATAGGTCACTGACCCACATTGGGGCCTGAGGGGCAAAAATTTAATACTCCTGTAATAATAATAATAATAATAATTCAGATAAGTAAAAAAAAAAGAAAAAAAAGCTGCCTATCTATCTATTGGACAAACTAAAGTCGTTCCGGACCACGGGAGTTTCCGGACCACAGAATGCCGGACTAGAGAGGTACAACCTGTACTTTATATATATACCTGGAAAAAAAGAGGAGTGACTGCCGGATGAAGCAAATATATTGAAAAGATGTTGATTGTAAAAGATGAGAGAGTGGTAGAGTTATTTTTTGGACCTGTTGTCTACAAAAATACAGTAAAATGATTTTTATCAATACAGTAAGATAACAAAATTTATACCACTTTTTATGATTAAAATAGGCTGCCTAAATGGGTGAGAAGGCAGTGCTAAGAGAAAGAGATAGTTAGGGGAGCCACAGCACTTGTTGCTACACTCTACATTTCTCATGTAATATTTGCCCATCAAGGGGGTAACTGAGACTTATTGCTGCATGGCAACTGCTCCAGTGACGTGTCTGAAGATAAACTTGTCCTCAAACTTGATGGTCCATTGAATGGACTCAAATCAAACAATAGCGAAACTTAGTGACGTCCAGGTGGTCGGGAGCAGTATAAGGGTTAACGCTGCTAATGTTAGAGTAACACAATCCAAACTGACGTGTCAACAATAAAGTGAATGATTAAGAGATATTGTACATAAAATACAGTACCTGTACTGTGTGGGTATGAAAACTAATAATAGTGTAGATGTAAAGTAAAAGATTAACAGTTAACTCAATAAGTGTCCACCAGTTCTGGTATAAGTCATCCTGCCAGGTTTCCCCCAAAAGAGCTTTTTTGGTGTACAGTATTTTATTGTCAAAAGACAGAACACTTGCATAATTTTGTGCTCTGGGGATTTAAACTTCTTGGTACACATCAATACACTGTATGTACACTACATGCATCTTGGAGATTTCTCCCGAGCCTTTCAGGCAAGTAAGCCAAATATGAATTTAAAATGATTTTTTTCTACTATTTTGCATTCATAAATGTTTTATTTATTTCCACTCATTACTCACTTGCTCATGGTTAACTAAGTAATAAAGAATAAATGTTTTACTAATTTTGCCATGACGAATGTTTGATATAGAATAATAAGGACCATGTGACAGCAACGATGGGCCTCGACTCTCTGGCCTGCTGACTGAACATAAACAATGCTATATTTTTATTTTATTTCAATATATTTTATTTTCTACCTTTTTCTGTTTATTTCTTTTGATTTATGTGACTTTCAAAAATATAAACAAAATATTTATGTAAACACTTTATCAAAAACTAACATGACATTTTCAACACCTCTTGCAACTAAACATTTCACCACGCTCTACCTCACGTCACCAAAACAATACCGTGTTCTTTGTAAGTTAGATATGAAAGAAATATGTCACCATGCAAAAACACTTGAATATAAGTTGTTAGTACTGTACCTCTTAAGCTATGTGGTGTGGCATGTTAGTGTTTGTCTGTCAGGGAAACGGCGAACAAAGGAGGAATGAATACGAGATAAGACAGGGAGGCCAGGCATAATTCACTCCTAGGCTGAGCAAGAGGGGAATGACAGGCTGTAGTGTGGCACCCCACTTTTCCCCCATCCCCCAACTCACCCAGCGCCTGGGACATTCTACCTCTCGTCACCAAAACAATATGATTTTCTTTGTAAGTTAGATATGAAATGAATATGTAGTGTGGTATGCTAGTGTGTCTTTGTCAAGGAGAGAGTGAACAAGAGAGGGATAAATGTGGAATAAGGCAGGGAGGCCAGCTCTGCCCCCACCTACAACCCATCAGGGCACCCAGGATGTTGAGACAGTTGCCACTAGTCCCGTTTTCATTTATTTGGCTGTAAGATGTCATTAGTGAGCGCGAGAGATTTTTAAATACAGTGGTGTTTAAAAATGGCGGTGCCGCTGTAATGATGATGCTGTCTTATATATATATATATATATATATATACTGGAGTGATATATCCGTTAGCTCAGCACTTTTAGGAATGAGAGATTTCTGGGTAACAAGATGACTCTCTCAAAACCAGAAAAAATCCCTCATCCCCTGAATTTTCCGAGTATTGGGAAAACTTTCTCGGAAGTTGCAGAGATTGTGCATTACATCATCTCTCGAACCCATAAAGAAATCACCCATGCCTGAAATTTTCTGGGTACCGGAAAAATTTTTCCTGATTTTTCATCTGTTAAACCCAAAAACAATCCCGCCTCGTAATTTTCCGGGTACCAGAGAAAATGTGCCCCTCGTAGAATTGTTCCTAAAGCCGGAATTTTCCAGAAAATTCCAGCTGTAGGATTGATTTTCCGAGAAAATTTCAATTCTGGCTATCGCAGGGTTCCGGTTAAGAGGGATTCCAGCTAACGGAGATATTACTTGTGTATGTATACTGTACTGTAATATAAATACCGTACATACATACTGTAACTGTATATGTATTCATTCCAACAATTATTTTTCTGCAGATATTTTGAATGCAAAGACAAGTATGGACTCTTTGCTCCTATTGCTCGTGTGAGCAAGTTCACTGGTGGGTCAGCCACTCCTCGTCGGACATCTGTAATGCCCCAGACTCCCCGATCCACTGTCCGTCGATCCAACAGCAGGGAGTCACTAGGTGGATCATCGGTTGCATCATCCACCACTTCATCTATCCGGGGTACCAGGGTAAGACTTGGCGTCACATCCCTCACACCAGGCCAGGTACGGTGTCTCCCAACTTCTTGCTGTTATTCATGGATGTTATCCTGGGCAGTGGCTTTCTGAAGAATATTTTGTGGGAATACAGTACAGTAATTAGATTATTACAGAGCACTGTAGATGTGAATGGCTATTCAAGTGATTGCTAAATGTCTGTCTTGACTCACTCACAAACCAGTTCTGAATGCAAGTTTAAGAGCTTATCATTTTTTAAATAATAAAATTTATCCAGCTTTGTAAGATCTGAGCAAATGTATTGTTGTAGAAAGTTTTTAAATCATTATGCATCTTTCTTGAGGCTTATTGATTGTCATTCACTGCACTACTATACTGTACATGCCTCTTGTAAATACCATAATGAAATGATGTTTATAATATAACTTTTAAAAGCCACTGCTTCAATGGATCACAGTATAAAGCAGCAGAAATATGGGGTAAGCTAGACCAGCCTTCTTGGACAGTTATTGGTACACACAAAATTTTAACATTGAAACAGAACCCAACCAAAATTTTAAGTGGATATTAGTGGTCTGTTGGTTTATAACAGAAGCGGATTGTTACTCACAAATGCTGATAGTTTTGTAATGTACTTATACAGCTCTCTTCTCCTGTATTTATGGATGCTGGCTTGTGCCCAGGGCAATGCCAGTTGATCAAGCTGTGAATGGGTACCTACCTTCAGAGTAGGGGAAATGAGTGCAATGCCTCCTAGGTGCTAAGGCTTTGTATGCAGTGTGCTTTATCATACTGCCCTTGAGACTCAGGTTCATTCAGCTCCACAGTTAATATTCCTTTAGAATTTGGATCACTGACATTATTACAGTCAGCTCGATTGATATTAACTTGAAAGAAAATAGATAAAACACATTTTTATGAGGACTTCGCTGTGTGTGCTTTGCTCTCTGCATATTTTGTGTTGGAAATAGAATGAGTTTGAATCTTAGAGTGAGTTATATTTTGTTTGTGTTGGCATAAATGCACATTCAAGCAAGTGTAAGTTTTAAGTGTAACTGAAATAAATTACTTATTGTGATAATACTGATGGACCTTAATTTCACTGTTATGTTTTGGCTCTGGACTGAATAAGGTGAAGGGTGAAAGTTAATGATGTTTGATTTAACAGAATCTAACCCAATGTGGCAACTATTATTGCTTAGGGAGTGACTTTTAATGGTGGTGTGTGGGGGCTAAATAGAGTTAAGATGGAGCAGAATTAACATGGTGCTGCATGTTAATAGTTTTATAATTTTCATAAATCCACAAATAGTTTGTTGTAGTGTAAACATTAGCATAACTGTTTTACATTTATGATAATTGATCTTGAGAAACTTTTTTGTAAGCTTTATTTTATTCGGTTATATTACTGTGCACAGTTGGTGGCTTCTTGAAAGTTACTGGTACTTCAATAGCCTACTTAATTTGAGAATTATTAATTTAAGCCAATAATTTATGTAATGTTCTTGTCATTCGTGTACTGTACTGTGTATCGTTCTTCTGTTTTCTTTCATTACCCAAAAATTATTCATAAATTACTCTCCTTACTTAGTTATTTGTATCATATCTTCATGAATCATTAAGTTGGTCTTAGTTTTTTACAGTAACCACAAATACATACTGTATGTAGAAGATGATAAAGAGCAGCCATAGTTTAAGGAACTAAGATACAGTATTATTCATGTAAAGAAAATTAAGAGTGTGATAAATAGCAGTAGTATACAGTATAGATGTACTGAGAAATAGTGAAGTATTTTTGGTCTTCTTGTAGGTGAAAAAGCTCGATCCATATATACCAAAGTTTGTGTGGTTTTGTGCAACTCCTCTATAATACTGTACCATGATTCATAATTTCAAATTGTTTTTTGTCTTGTTTGGCAACTTTATAAACACTCTGAAACTTTTTATTTAATGTTTAGAGAAATGTCGTATAGATCAGTTATTAATTGAAGATGAATCGGTTGTTTTGTCATATTTTATGACATAGTATTGTTTACACAGTAAAAAAAGTACCTCACGGATTATGTACAAAACAATATGACACCACGGAGGAGGGATAGTGGAATATGTGTGTGTGTTGGTCCTGTGTTGTGGTGGTACTCCTGCTGTCCTTGCCTGAGGGTGTCCTCTCATATCTGTTGCTAACAACATATATAGGTGATGGTATAACTGAATATGAACACATTGGGTGATGTATGGATCATCATGGAAGTCAGCAGACCCCGCCCCCCGAGCGATACTTTTTTTACTGTGTGTGTACGATGTATTTCATAGGTAGTGTTAATATGAAAGAAGGGCTTAGTAACATATTTTTCATGAAGTACATTAGTCACATTTTAACTGTACTGTATGTATAATTTTTTTTAGTCTTGTTAGTTATTTTAATTTGATGGAAGGTTTAAAGTACAATGGTCCCTCGGACGAACAGTTCGATTAACGAAATTTCGGTTTAAGAATTAGCTCCCATAAGGATTTTCAGTTCGATTAACGAAATCCTTACGACAAACACGTTTTGTTGTGTGCATCAGCTGATCGGCTAGTCTGCCAATACAGTCATTGGTTCTATGTTTACATTCGTTTCCAGCGGAGTAAATATCAAGAAAGTTGGTTTCTTGAATATTTTTTCATTTTTTATATTAAAATTATTGGTCATTCTAATTTAGTTAACATATTGATAGTATATACGGTACAGGGAACAGTTTTTGTGCGCCCATCAACTGATTGAATCACCCACCAATTCTTCTCAGTTTAACTTTATTTACAGTGGAGTGAACATCGATTTTGTTGGTCTCTTGAATATTTTTGCATTTTTACATTAAAATTATTGGTCATTCTGAAATTTAGTTAACTTATTGATTATATACAGTGCAGAAATTATTATGAAACACGAAGAAGGCATTAGAACCAATGCACTCTGTAAAGAATATGGCATGACATCATCGACTGCCTCTACAATCAGCTGTTTGATGTGTTAACAAAGCTGGCCTTCTAACACATACTGGAGTATTAAGATAAATTAGTCACAATAACAGGTTAAGACTCTAAAACCACATTTTATGTAATATGTTGATTGTATGAGAGCTGCTGAGAACTATATGTATGTACAGTACAGTCCAGTCCAGTACAGTATATACGTGAGAAATATTAACAAGTAAAAGATTAGGTATGGAAAGCTCTGACTTTTCTAGACAACCGGTATATGTTTGAATGAAAATAATTCAAATTTTTTAAGGACATATTTTATGTTCATATTTCAGAAAGAACTGTCTTTATGACTGAGGATTCAGTTGTCCTTTTGCCTGTGTGCAGTATTGTGCAGGGGGATGTATGAAAGGACATTTTTCAATTTTGTTAATTGTAAGTTAATTTGGTAATGATATACAGTACAGGAGTACCCCGGTTATCGCCAAGGTTGGCGTTCCTAAAAGTTAACGTGGATAACGAATTTGCGAATATTGGGTAAATTTTCCCCATAAGAATCAATGTAATTAGGGGGGATGCATTCCCAGATGGCAACTTTCTCCACATTTTTTCATATACACTCAGTACACAGGGGGTCCTCATTATCTGAGGCTATTAGGGACTGGAAAATTGCCACTTAAAGTGGGAAATTTCTGGCCACAAGAAATAATAGAAACAGGGTTTGACTGGGACTATAAGACACTAAATGTTACTCAGAAGGATCATTTTTATACTGTACCAGTAAATGTCAGGAATGAATAAAATTACAGTTGTACCCCACTTAACGCGGTCAATTGAACCCAGAGGGTCCCGTTAAGTGAAAACCGCGTTAAGTGAATAACAGAACATATGGGATTAATTCCAATAGAACCCAGCCCGACCCCCAAACTCCACTTTTTGACGACAAATAACTATGTTGTAGTAAAAATAACATCTTAATTTTATGATGGTACATGCACACAATTAATACTTAAGAGAAATACAGTCGCCAAGTTAATGTCCATTCAAATAATGGACTCAACTCCCTCCCCCTCTCACACTACAGTACACAGCCAGCTAACAGATGGTCGGTCGGTCCCTCCCTCCCCCCCCCCACCCCCCACCAACCGTCCCAAGGAGATGTGTGGGATAACCTCAAACTAAAGTTAGGAAAATATAATTGACATTGCTGGATTCCTTGTAAGACCAGGAATATTTTGAATATAAATGTCATATATTTTTCACAAAAGATAACATACTTACTCAGATTAAACATTTTATCTAAAAATTGTATGTTTAATGCAAAAAATATGTTGTTTATATTCAAAATGATCACCAAATTATAAGAATTCCAGCAATGTAAATTATATTCTGGCTGGATAATTTGTATGAATTTTATGAGCTAAAACAAATATCTACAGTTAATAAAAAAAAAATATATTCTTCAACACTATCTGTCAATCAAAGTACCCCACCTTGCCTCCCCCCCTCTTCCAACCGCGCGGTCAGTCCCAACCCTCCCCCCACCCCCCACCAATCCTCCATTCAAGAGTTTTTAACATTTAGTAATAAATAATACCTCAGATTAAAGTTAGGATAATATAATTGACATTGCTGGATTCCTTGTAAGACCAGGAATATTTTGAATATAAATGTCATATATTTTGGACAAAAGATAACATACTTACTCAGATTAAACATTTTATCTAAAAATTGTATGTTTAATGCAAAAAATATGTTGTTTATATTCAAAATGATCACCAAATTATAAGAATTCCAGCAATGTAAATTATATTCTGACCGGGTAATTTGTATGAATTTTATGAGCTAAAACAAATATCTTCAGTTAAAAAAAAATAATTCTTCACCGGGTAACAGATGGTCGGTCGGTTGGTCCCTCCCTCCCCCCACCCCCCACCAACCGTCCCAAGGAGATGTGTGGGATAACCACTAAATTTTAATAAATAATACCTCAAACTAAAGTTAGGATAATATAATTGACATTGCTGGATTCCTTGTAAGACCAGGAATATTTTGAATATAAATGTCATATATTTTGGACAAAAGAT